TACAGGACAAGGAATGTGAATCTCTTTATCTTTGACACACAGTTTTTATTCTATCAATGGATGTCTATCTTCAGAGCAGGTTTCAAACATGAACTCACCCAGTAGTATAGCAAAGCCCATCCTGCACAGCACAGAGGACGACAGAAGCCACTCAGCTACAATCACTGAGTGGGGACCCCCTAATGAAACAGAATGTACAATACAGATTGTCAGTTTTTATTAAAAGTCAAGTGTCTTTTTTGCCTTAGTTCTGTGTAGCATGAATGTACTTATACTTATATTGTAAATGTGAAGGTGAAACATTAAAATATATTAATTGTATTACAGCATTGGAAATCCCTGTTATAAACAACTATTCTTGGTTGTAAGAGTGTGATTTAACATTTTGCCACTAAGGACACCATTGTCATAGCAACCACTGTTGCCTTTGCCAATCTTTTCTGTAGAAGTAGCTCTTGACTGAGCAAAGACAAAACCCTTACACTTACACAATCCTAAAAATAAACTTGTGGATTAATAGCTTGTTTCACAATGGCAGCACATTGAGGATCAATGCAGAACATTATAGTGTAGTCGATACTGTAGGACAATTTTCTATCCGACTTTTGTTTACAGAAGAAAAACGTAATGGTAACAGAACCATAAAGAGAGGAACCAACCATGAGGAGTGACGATAAGAGGCAACTTCACTCCATCCTTCACCTCTTTTGGTTTGATCAACAAAGCTTCAAAATCAAGGTCAGCTACAATTTAAAAAAAAGGCTTATTAATATTACATATATTGTTCTATTTGTCTCACATTAACACCAAAGTATTTCCAACCCTTCATAAACTTTCGGACATAATATTTTTTTCTGATTTAAGACTAACTGGGAGCTTTCACTTCTGTTATCCTTCTATTGTAAGAGAAGTTGCAAACTTCCAGGTTTGAACAAACAAATATGTTGATAAATCTGTCTGTTGATAAAAATCAGTGGTTATCAGCTTAGGTTTGTTCATTCTAGACAAAGGTGGTTGTTAGCTTCCTTACCAGATTATTTGAGATCTCATACTCAGTTTTTTGTGGATTCTGTCAGAAAGCTGTTTACCGTATGTACATTTCAGAGTAGACAAAACTGACTATATCTCTCCGGATCATTTGAGAAAAAACAAAAATGAACAATTGGTAGTCTTACAGTATTGAGTGTTGTCTTGATCTGGGGGAGGGGTGAAAGTCAAGATCTGCCAGTGAATATCTGGTAACACCTGAGAGTCTTCCAAAGTCACCCACTCAATTTGCTCCTGAGAATCTCTGGCTGGAAGGAAACCAACCCTCTGGACAGAGATATTACATTACAACGAGTGACATAACTGACTCTCCATCTCATGGTATCCCCCAACACAATCCCAAAATGACATTGATGTAAAAACATACTTAATAATACTAATAATATATGAAAATATTTATACTGAAATAAAGAACACTGAGCCTACCAGACTTGGGGGGTAGTTAGGAGAAGAGTAGCTGACAACCATCAGATCTCTCTCTATGTTCAGCAGACACCAGCTTCCAGCATCACACTCTGCAGACAAAGGTCTTTATCAGGACAGTGCTCTTGTAAGTAAGTGAATTGTTGGAGACTGTCAGCACCAAATATCTGTAAACTAAAAGAAAAATCTAGATCCAAGCATGAGTAAGATCAAGGCTTATAAATGTGTCCAGTGACTTACTTGAGGTCAGAGAGGTGACTTTCCCGGAGCTTATATCCACCATCAACAGGTCCTACAAGAGGAAAATGTAAATTCATCAGAAAATTATCAATCTTGTCCATTGTTATAATAACAAGCCTCTTCTCAGGAGTTGACTCTACCTTGCGGCTGCGCTGAGGACAAGCTACAATAACACTCTGACTATCAGCTGACCAGCATTGAGGGGACAACTGAGAGCTGTAGAGACCAGTGAAGCCATCTGTAAAGACACACCAATGCAGACAGACATAATAAGGTTTTTATTTATAGTGGAAAAAAGGGGAATATTCATATGACTATATAAATGCCTGTCATTGAACAGGGTGTACAATGAAATTATAGGTATCAACTATTCCTCACCTTCTCCAGGTCGCTGTACCACATCCACCACCACTGAGGTTTTCTTGGTATACCAGTCATACTAAAAATGATTTGCAAGCACAAAGAAAAGCATATGGAGCAAATAGAATGTACAGCTGTAACAACATATATATATGTCCACAGAATAGAAAAGCACAAGATGGCACATCACATCTAACTACTATCTTCAGTGAAGACAGTACTATTTGTAAAGGGAAAGTAGACACTTCTGGTGCCTTGTACAGTCTTCTATTTGCTTCAAGGTTAAAAACTGCATGTATACAAATTAGTGTAAAAAGAATTTCCCCTTGAGGGATCAATAAAGTATCTGTTCTTCTTCTCTCATCTCTGGTGAGGACTTGTGATCTGATCTCACTTCCCCTCTAAATATATATATAAATTAATATGTGTGTAATTTCTGTTTGCAAAGACCACAGTTTGCAGATTTGTCCACTATACATGTGTTTGTGTGTGTCTGAGAGCACGAGAGATGTAGAGAGAGAGAGCATGAGAGAGGTGGAGATGTAAGAGAGAGATAGGTATGTAATGAAATATGTCTGCACTGTTTGAACTGTGTGTACAGATGAGGTGCAAAGATTTTAGATTTGTAGTGAAACTGTAGATAGTCATAGGTGTCAGCTGAGAAAACGGTTTTTCATACATGGTCTGGGACATATTTGCATTCACATCCGTCCCAGACAACCTCCAAATGTGGTCCGACTGATCTGATCTAAAGATGCCATGACAACGCATTTTGGTGCATTCAGACCTGTATTTAGCTCTGACCACTTGTGATGGGATCACTCAGGATGGATCTAATAACAGATCTGAACGGGGCTTTGTGGGGGAAAAGAGAGGCTTAATTCTGTCTCACCATACAGAGCCTGCTGCACTGCATATGTGGCCCATAGACAGAACATTCCAAGTACACAATTCGACACTGGTCTGGACTCATCCTGGGGGAACACACTGCACTGGTGCCTGATGACAGCTTCTCTAAAGGACATAAACAGATACATGTGAACATCCGCAATCAGTAGCTATAACAGTTTTACACTAGAAAAGGTGTGAAATACATTAATATGTGTGAAATTCAGATATGGAAAACCTGCCTACGTGCAGAACACTCTTGTCACTTAATGTTAACGTTTCTAAAATAGGTATTAAAGACTTAATAAGGAAGGAATATTCACCAACTTACCACATTTCCCCCCAGTGAGATCCACATAGAATAAAGTCGACCTGACAGAGAAGGGGAAAACATTACTAAGGAGCAGTATTAGCCTGTGAGCCTTACACACAGTTCTTAGTCCAGCTTTAATTTGAACTTTTCTCTGACAGGTGTAACCAGTAATCACCTCCTGTTGGGGCAGTACTTGAGGCCAAGTCTGAATGGCTCGTGGCACCAGCCTACAAACACCACACCTGTGTCACCTGGAGCCCAAAATGCCTGCAGACACAGAGATAGACCATGATGACTAAAAATAGACAAACATGAAAAAAAACACTCATCCTTGCAAGGAAGTGTTGCACTTACCTGTCCAGGTGAGATATTTTCAGGCACACCTTCCAGCACAGAGACGTTGTCGCCCTCGATGTCCAAAACACAAAGCACTGGACAATTCTTACCAACCAGCGCCTCTCCCCAGTCCTCACGGAGGACAAATTGCTCCCCCTGCAGGAATTGTTTTTATAAACCAACTTAAACTATAGACAATTGGAAAGTAGGAATGTAAACTTAAACCTTTGAAGAGTGACAATGTTTTCAATTTTGAAATTTGAGAGAGTTCATTTCAATTACTTTAACAGTCTCCTTTTTCTCCTCTTTCATGGTTTCCTCCTCATCCCCGATGGAAGACAGCTCCGGTGACACAGTCTACAAGCAGAAAATGAGATACAGAATAATGAGCAATGACATTTACATTACATTAATCCTACACACAGTGCCGATGAGCTATGGTAAATGGTGAATAAACTCTACATCATATACAGGGCAGAAAACATGCTTCATGTTCTGATGTCCACATTCCAGCAAGGCGTGTCAAGGTATCAATCTTTTAAAGGTGATGGAAAATACCTGGGAGGCATTCAACATGAAAAGATTTTCAAGATGCACCAGTTTGCCGAGTTGTTATAAAATAAGCTCCCTCTCAATGGCATGCAACAACTATTAAGATATATTTGCTCCATTCTGTTGAGTCTTAATTTGCTGAAGCTAACATTCTACCAACTTAGTGATTTAAGATTTGCAAGAAAGGTTTTTTCTTGATTTCAATTCTTTACCACTGAAGAGCTGGAAACTTGTATCTAAACTGTGCAATGAGGCAATCAAGTAACCATGGATCGACTTTAAAAAGTTTGTTGTGTATTTTGCAGTACTGAACATATTGACAAATTTAAGGGGGAAATCAACATGCTTGAAATTCTTTAATTGTAGAGCACAGTGCAGCAGTGTTTGTTGTTTGTCTCAGTTTGTGCTGACAGACCTGAAAGAAGGATTCTGCCTTGGGCCTCTTTCTCTCCGCCACATACAAAAGGTGGGTCTCAGAGTGGGACCAAACCAAGCAGCCAAATTGTTCTAGGGATGCAAAAAAATTGTAAATAACACCTGCACATGTAAAAAGCCAAGTTTCAAAGAAACTGAATAACAGAAAAATTCTGATGACTCACCGTCTTCATAGACTTTGCCGTGCTTCTTTAGGGCTGTTAGATCGATGCTCTTCATCTTGATGTTTTTACTCCAGATCTGCAGGGTCACAAAGGCGCCAGGAGAAAAGAGCGGTAAAATATCTAAGGTTCAAAATGCAAAGTCAAGGGAGATTTAGGCTATATGTAGAAAACATAGCAAACAGAGATATTAATGAGCACCATACAGGGGGTCTAAAAAAGTAAAGTGTAACATCATTGGAAATTTGACAGACATTTACTCTGGCTTCCAGAGTTTTCACTTTAGTGCGTCATCTATTCTATATGAATATTTAGAAAACATGTTTTGATAGCTTCCATAGCTTCCATGTCATATTGTATTGATATCCTAAATGTGTCTTTTTGCTATAATTTTGTGCTTCTGATATTTTCAATGATCAATATAAAAACAAAAAACTGACTCCAAACGACTGATGAATTGTTTTAATGTGTTTAGTGAAAGCCCAGTGATCCGCAGTGAATGTCTGTTAAATATCTAACCTAAAAGTATCTTTAGTGGAACAAAGACATCACAGTGGATGTGAGTCTCAATGCTGAGTGTGAGTGAGAAGGACGACCACACACCTCCAGAAACTGTTTGTCGTCCCCTTTGATCTTACACTCTCTGACAACAGCCTTCATTTCACCTGAGGGGGAATCCTTGCTCAACACCCTGACAGGAGGAAACTGTTGATGAGACACAGGTCCAGAGGAACATTTCCAACTCCAATTCAGATAAAAAGAGAAAAATGTTGTACGTACTCTCCTTTAATCTCAGTGCAGTTTCCAGAAGCTCCAGAGAAGACCACAGACTTATCATCGTGGAACACAATGTACTGCCGGCAAAACTTGACATTCTCATTCCTCTCCAGGTCACGTTGGCTCCACTCTGCAGAGGAGAATAAACAAACAGAATAATTTTCAAGACAAGAGCAGGAAGTATTTCAGTAGATGTCATAATAAGAACTGCTTGAATTCTGTAAATGATAAGGAAAGGAGCTTCAACGCTTCCTAACTCATCTCCTTTAGCATAGGACACACCAGACACCCAAGAGAATTTCCTCCACTACCATAAGGTTTTCTTCACGTATAGTCCTCACATGATCATATCATTTCAACATTTCAGTCCTGTTTGTTTCATTTTAATTTCTAATGACATCTATTTGTTCCTTTAATTGAACTGAAAACCTCACATTTTCATTTGGCGAAACATTGTCCCAGGACGTGTCTGTCTTGGACAGGAAACTTTACCATAACTGTGGGTTCACAGCCTACGGCACAAAGTGCCCTGCAGTCTGTGTAACTTATATTACACATTAAGTTGTTGTTTTCTTGTTTATAACTGGCTGTGAGTGGAGTTGGGTTTTCTCTGCAATGTGAGTCTCCTTTCCTAACTCCTTTCAACTTCTCCTTTACATCCTTCCTAGGCCTGGTCACTTTTTTCCCATCGGGATGGAGGAGTGGTGGTTTGGGAAAAGGAGTTGATTTTGACAGATCGTGTTTGTTGGGACACGGACACGAACCTGTGTAGATGTTGCTGTATTTGCCTCCATACTGGGAGGTGATGACAGGTCCCACGTCTGCTCTGCTCAGAGAAGGGAAGAGGCTGACCTCCCGGTACAGTCTGGCTATTTCCTCCGGGTTGCTCGTCACCTGACAACACGCAGCAGAGAAACTCACAGCACGTCTCCGTGACACAAACTGTCTCAGCGCGAACAATGCTTTATTCATGTCCTAGCCGGGAAGCTAGGCGGCTAGCTGGGTTAGTTTACCACCAAACACACAGGAGTCGGTGAAACATTAGCCTTTGAGTAACAAGCGAGTTAGTTTCTGGATTAAACACTAGACCGCTTGCTAAGTCAGCTGCTATCAAAACACTTAGCAAGTAGCTAAGGCAAGTTGTACATTTTACGCATTCACAGTTAAAGTTGATTCTGGCTGCGTGTTGTATCCGTTCAAACAGTCTGTAAAGTTCAATCTTACATGTGACGCCATGACAGTGACGCTGCTCCGCTGGTGACACACAGAACACAATGAACACACAGGCACGCCAAAACCAAGCTAGCCAAAAAGTAAACATCTTATTTCTTCCTGTGACTTACAAAATAATGTATAATACCAGTAATACAGTTCTCGAATGGACCAAAACCGGAAAAAAGGAATATATTTACGATTAATGGGAACGAAGACATCTAAAAAATACGCCCAAGGCTGTTTGGGACTGCTAAAAATATTTCTTTAAACAGTTCATTAATACCAGTAATATACAAATGCTTTTATTTTGTAAGAAAGCCACTATACCGCAACGCCCTAAAAAGGAAGTAGGAAGTATAAAATAACCGAGCTTTTAGCGCCCTCTTGCGTTGTAGTCTCTCAGGTCTCATGTCTTCACATTTCTGTACAGATTTATCCTTTTCCTTTTTTTCAATTTCCATCAACAGTAACCGACACAAATATTTAGAAGTGGCATAGAATGTGAAAAATATAAAAAGAGACATTGCTAATTAAGTGTTGGGTGAAATACAATCTTATTTCATTATATAAGCATTATTTATAAACTGATGGAAAAAATTAAACGCTGATTATATTTAATCAACATATTCGAAAACACCTTTGAAAAGTGTAGGATATGTTTTAGAATTACTTTGTAAAGATATATGTCAGGATCACTTTGTAAAGATTATATTTCATGGTTGTTTGTAAAGGTAGATTTCATAGTTGTTTGTAAAGATATATTTCATAGTTGTTTGTAAAGATATATTTCAGAATTACTTTGTAAAGATTTATCTCTGAACAACTTCCTCATGTGACTGAACCGCCGCAAAGGTTTTGTCAGTCAGCTGGGGTGGGTGGGGTCACAAAGAGCCAAGATGGCTGACTTCGAGGATCCGCTGTCAGAAGAGGAGAAGGTTTGGGGACTTGATTATTCTTTACTTCGGCGCATTCTTTCTTCTATCTACTCATCTGTCTGTGGTGGATGTTCGCACCAGTCAATGGTTCATCTTTGGAAGGAAAAAGACAGTTTCTGGCCACGCATCGGAATGATAAACTTGCGCCTTTAAGCTACGGTCAGCTAACTAGCTAATGCTAGTTAAAGCTTGCAGTTGGCTAGCGGCTGAATAAAAAGCCGACACTTTTACTGACAACTTGTCGTAACTGCACGTGTGGACGCAGATGCACCGAGGTGCCTCCCAAAGTCGCGTTGCAGCGTTCGCACTAATCTGCAATAAGCGCAGGGTGGGCGACGCTTCCTCCCGTACTACGTTAAGCTAGCATTAGCGGCTAATTCTGGGTCAAACAGATACAGTTGCAGCGAAAATGCTCGGTCGCCTCACATGGGCTGAGACCGGGATGCATGGGTGTGTGTACGGATTAAATGGAGCCTGTTAGCTGGAGAGAAGCTTCACTTTATTATCAGTGTGTTTCTGCTTGTGAAGGTAGATAGAGACGCTTGTGTCGTTTTTCATGAACCCTACAGGACAACAGCTTCTCCTGATACCATCAGACATCATGGCGTGATGTTGTAGTGTAGATGAGCCGTGCGGATTCTACAGTGGTTCAGTGTTTACAGCGTGTTGATGGTTATAAAAGCTATAATTGAAATATATATCAGTTGTTCTTCCTGTTTAAAACATGCTATGTGTGTCATTGTTGACCGACATTCTTTAAACTGGGGTGTTATTGTCATTTCTGGTTGTTTGGCTTTAGGTGATAATTATCCCAACGTAATTTCCATCAATGCCAATATAACAAAAGTACAATATATGTATTGATTTAATGCTTATGTGTTTATGCTTTGTGCAATCACAATGAGGAAGTATGACACATAATTGAACCACGTCTAATCTAATCTATCTATCTATCTATTATATGTGGTTTGTTATTCTCATAAAGAAGAGTTTAAAACTTCCTCCTTCACTCATGCTCATGATGAAAATCAAACAGTTAAGCCAGAGAAAATTATTTCAAAACTTAGCTTGCATCTTAGTACCAGCTGTAGCAATACCACAAGGCCACAACAAATTTACTAACAAAATATGTAAAACTCTTTTTCCAACTTCCCTGACTTGTGTAGCAGATTATAGATTTGTTTTGCTTGTTAAACAGTGGAAATATTAATTGCAGGAATGAGTCCATAGTGTTTCTCTATCGTATTGTGAGTCATATTGGCTGAATTGATTAGTTGCATTGAATTTCTCTCCATAGGTTCGCATAGCGGCCAACTTTGTGACTCATGCCCCTCCAGGAGAGTTCAATGAGGTCTTCAATGGTAAGGAAAGGGCAGCTGTGGCAAAATAGCCATAATAATGTCATTTAATTTAATATAATGTTGGTTACTTTGCCTCTGATACATTATAGTTTTGTCTCTGAAGAGTACTTCATAAACAGTGGTTTCTTTTTCTCTTGCTAGATGTGCGGCTTCTTCTCAACAATGACAACCTCCTTAGGGAGGGGGCTTCACAGTAAGTCAGGTTCAATTACAAGTAACGTCCAAGCAAAAGATATTGATATTTTACACTGAATCTTCACTGTTTAAAACACAAGAGCCTCGATAGGGGGAGGATATATTGAGGTTCATTATACTGTATGTTGTTGATACAAGCATGGTCAGTGTTCTCAAAATGGTCTGTAGAAAACATGTGTTGAAAGATCTTTGATGTCATATAATAAATATTTGTGCCCATTCTGTTTGTCTAGCTCCTTTGCTCAGTACAACATGGATCAGTTTACTCCTGCCAAACTTGAGGGCTACGATGAACCGGTATGTTTCATCCTGAAGTCTTTCCTATTTATTTCTGAAGAGCAACTGTCTGAGCCACATGTCCCCAATTCTCCCTCTCCCTTCTTTTTAGGTCCTGATCACAGAGCATGGTGACTTGGGTCAGGGGCGTTTTCTGGACCCCCGTAACCATTTGTCGTTCCGCTTTGACCACCTAAGAAAAGAGGTGAGCGACGTGGAGCCTTATGAAGGAGATATGGCCCTGAGAAGCTGGAGAGATGCCTGTGATACCTCCCTTAGTGCCTACGTCAAAGAGCACTATCCCACTGGAGTCTCCACGGTAAGGTGCACAAATATGGTTATTAAAAAAGTAATTGAGGCAGTATAGACTGCATTTTACCCATATTGTGTGTTGCAGGTATATGGAAAAACGGTTGATGGTCAGCAAACTATCATAGCCTGCATTGAGGGACATCAGTTTCAACCCAAAAACTTCTGGTATGTTGACTGTCCTGCAAACACATTTTCATAAACATACCTGAATACATGTGTATCCTACTAATATATTATATTAGGAGAGGATTAATAATATTTTGTGTTTTAGGTTAGATTACAGTTTATTTTTAGAATCTCTTCTATTGCCTCACATGAAGACAAACATGATTGTACAACAGAACAAAAACAATGTCTACAAACTGCCTTTAGTCAATAATTGGTCTCAGTTTTACAAATGTTCTTGATGCTGCTGTCTGATTGTCAACTCACGTCACTATATTTCCCTAACACAGGAATGGGCGCTGTAGGTCAGAGTGGAAGCTTACCATTGGTCAGTCCACTGCTCAGGTGGTGGGAGTGTTGAAAATCCAGGTACATTCAATTTATTGTGCTCATCTGAGTAAACGATATCAAGTCAAGAATATTGAATGAAAATCTTACTAACAAAGTTCTTCCCCATTTCCAGGTGCACTATTATGAAGATGGCAATGTGCAGCTGGTCAGTCATAAGGAGGTAGAAGAATCAATACCAGTGACTGTAAGTAGATATTAAACCTGTCAACACAAACACACCTGTGCAGTCTTACAGCATTTCACACATAGTATTAGTCTGGCTCTGTTATCTCTGGGTATATTCAAAGGAGTTCATCCGTGCTATAGATTTAAGATAATGATTCATTGGGTGTTTTTGAAACAGAATGAAAGCCAGACAGCCAAGGAATTTGTTGACATTATCGAGAACGCTGAAAATGACTACCAGGTAAGCTGCCTTTCATTGACTCTGCATTTTACATTCGAGTATTTGCAATCTATTTTACTGAAGAAAAAATATTTCAATAAGAAAATATATTCATGGTTTCTATCACTTTTTGTCCTCAGACTGCAATAAGTGAGAACTACCAGACCATGTCTGACACAACTTTTAAAGCCCTGCGTCGCCAGCTGCCTGTCACACGCACTAAGATCGACTGGAATAAGATCCTAAGTTACAAAATTGGCAAGGAGATGCAGAACGCCTAGTGGAAGGTCAGGGACTGACCAGGGAGACGCACGCTCCACTTGTCTCACAACCCACCTATACGTGCGCAAGGACTAACCAAAGCAATGTCAGTATGGGGCAAGGAATTAATAATGATAAAAAACTAACAAAAAAAAGAATAACTGAAGATTTGCAGACTGCTAGGCACAGGTATCTGTTTGCGGTAAAGAAGTTGCAGTATGGAGACAGATGGTTTGGAGAAAATGGTTACTTGAGGATGTGTGTTGTGAGAGTTGTGTGCAGGGCTGTGCTCAGGACTGCTACATTAGAGGAGTAAATCTTCCTTCAGCCATTTAAGGAATCACAGGCCTCCCTAGATTCAGGTGTCAGTGGTTAAATTACTCTTTCTTTATCAAACGGTTGCAGAACTGTGATCATGTCACATTGGAGATATCAGCCCACACGGACAAAAAACAGAACTGCACAAGGCAGCTGATGAGAGAAATTAAGCACATCATTACATATCAAGAGCTGGGTTTTGGAATAAAATATTCATTTTGTGAAACTTTTCTTTTCCTTATAGAATTGGGAAACAGGTGCATCAGGAAAAATTGGCACAAAATGAATTGCAGTCATCTTAACTGGTAGTGACAGAACCTGGTTATACATGGCTGACGAGATTGACAGTTTTTTTTATCTGATAACATTTAGAAGTGGCACGATTCTCAGCATAGCTCTGTTCCTGCACTGTTGACCTCTGATGTTTGTCGGTGTCTATCAGGGCTGAGGGAATGTGTATTTACTTACTGTTTGTCACTGATGTATGTGTCTCCACCAATGCGAACAATGATGACTGAAACAAGATAAATCACCCTCTACGCTGCTGCATCTATAATGCATTCTCTGGTCTCTTACTTTGACAAACACCACCTCCACTGCTGTACAGCTTTTCCTTTGTGAAAGGAGAAACATACTCATAATAACCAAGATTTATTTGCCAAAATCTCTTTCCTATGGTAAAGAACTCCATCCTCCCACCCATGTATGCAAATTTCTATTTTAATATGCTGGTTTTTGTTGGAGTCTTATAATATTATTGCACTCTGAACTGTAACAAACTGTGTATTGGTCAATGCCAAGTGAATGCAAATCTGTTGCCATGTAAGGCAAGATCATATACTGTATACGTTACATGACTTCTTGAAGGCCACATCATTCTGTATGTGTTACACGACTTCTAAGTAGGCTGACTCTGGATCAGTTACATGTTATCTAGACTGTGCCGTGTTCAACTCTCACACAATACTACAACTGTGTACTGATCAGTTATTAAGCTCAAGACTGTACTGCCCCATTCTGTTGTACAAATAAATGGATTGAACATCTTGGCTAGATTGTTGTTTTCCTTTTTATGGAGTCGCATGCACATCGCATTGGCTCTCAGTTAAGATACAGCTTTAAAATGACACTAACTAGAGCACATGCATCTGTCTGAGGCCCAAAAGTCCTGTTATATTCCTTCAAATAGCAAAGACTCGTAGACATCAGCCCCTAAATATGCCTCATTTTTTTAACCAAGTTTCTACATTAGAGAGACTGACCAAAAATACCTGGATCCGTGCCAAATTGTAATTGCCTCTTTCTTAGCCTCTGTCCCATTCTTCCTCCAAGTTTTGTGGAATTCTATTCAGTAGCTTTTGCGTCATCCTGCTGACAAACAAATAGGCAAACAGACAGGTGAAAAACTATCTCGGCAAAGGTAATAAATAAAAAAACAAAACACACCTTTAAGGCATCTGCAATTTATTTAAAATACCACTAGGTGTTGCAGGTGTTCAACATATGCATATTTTCTAGAGAAAGCTGAGGGACATCGCCCCTCACAGATAAGCAGTGTCTATATAAATTGACAAATTTAAATCAAAAGGCTAAAATAATTTCTTTCAATGAATTCTTGTTTTTTAAGGCTAGAAAACAAAACATAAAACACAGTAAATGTCAAATAAAATAAAACATGTAGCATCATTAGGAAAACACACAATTCTATAGTTACAGTAGCAAGATTCAACCCTTTATACCAAATGGTTCTCGGCACAGGACTCAGTCCTTCTTGGTTTGAGTGAAGCGGAAATGAATTGTTCCCTGAATAAAACATCTGAAATTGTAGACATACAGTGTCTTAGAGAAATGTAGTGCAAAGTGTGCTCTCCCTTTTTCAAGACAAGATTCAGTGTATCCGTGACTAGTAGAAAAAAAAAAACAGCACATGCAAGTGATATTGTTCATTTAATTATTTACAGTATACTATTTTCATGGCCAATGTCCACAACAGCTGCATAAGAGCCAGTTGGCAAAACATTTTAAAGTTATTATTTTATTGTGACATGGTGACAGCTACACTTTCGCTATGCTCTACATCCATATTTTGGCCCCTCCACTAGCTACACAGTGTTGTATCTGACTCTTGTTTTATTCTAACAGGCAGCTTGAGGCATTACAGGGGTGTGATAAGGAGGGCTGTGCTTTAAGATCACACTGACACTTTGTGTTTAAAAGTCAACAGTTCTCTTTATATATGGTTTCTCAACACCCCTAATATAGGGTTTAAGTGGAAAATAACATAAATATTATTTTACTCTAAAATTTCAAACTCAAATATTCTACATAAAGAAACAAAGACAGGGATGTAAAAAATATTAAATCCTATGAAATAATCAATAAAAGACTAGGGGGTAGTGGTGCATAGACTCTATGTAAAGATGGACGACATGACAGCTCCCCAAAAGTGAAGCCAAATCATCTTGATAGTCTAACCAGTACACATTTAAAGTACGAGATGGTTTCTGTTTTAGTTAGTTCTTATCACACTGATGTATGTTCAAGTTTTCTTTTTGACAGTACGTTTAGTTTTAGTTATATTATAATAGGTTGATTGATCATTTTGATTGACAGCTGAGACTGATTGGTCAAGCAAATGTATGGGCATTGTCCCACAATCTCTACTGGCACCTGTACTCGGTGTATTTATTTGAGTAAACGATGGGAGAAAGTGGGGACACGTCATCCATCTGTATACAGTCTGTGATATGAACCAGTCCATCTACTGATGAGTGCTATGAAGTGGGCTTGAGCCCCAGTAAAAATGAAAATTACGCTAAATGTTGATGAAGGCCTAACTCGTTTAGCTGTGAGTTTATATACTCTGGCCGTTAGCTGCTAGAAAATAAAACAAGGTCTGATTCCTTGGCTCCTTCCTGGCTGTTGTTGCTTTGCCCACAGGTTCCGGTCAGCTCGGGGAAGAGGCTGCTCCGAGCAGAGTGACTTGGGGAGCCTGGAGTTGGACTCATGCCTGGCTTTTTGGGAGGGATTGGAGGAGGATGGGTTCTCTCTGAGCGAGGAGTGAGGGGGGAGCGGATGCCTGGAGATAGGGGCCCTGAAGACGGCGACCTCCCACCAGGAGGGGACGCTGCTAGGTTGCGGTAGTCTGTACCGAACGGTGAGCTGCTGAGTGGGGCCAGCTTGACTCCCGCTTGCTGGCTGGTGAAGCGGGACAGCACCTGAGTGACAGTGTTGCGGGCCAGCTGCTTAGCTGTGCTGTGCTCCGGTGGGGGAGGAATGCAGGAGGTGGTGGGGGAGAGGTCCCTGGGGGAAAGCGGGCCACCTTGCTGCTGCTCCAGCTCAGCCTGGCTCTGGAACTTGTGCCTGGCGGCCTGGAATCGCTGGTTGATTCCGGCCTGATAGGAGGACTGATGTAAGCCCGGGCTGCCAAGGCGCTTGGCAAGGATGGGGGAGGAAATGGGGGAGGAGGAGAGAGAGGAGGAGGCTGTGCTGGAGGGAGAGTGAGGGTGAGGGTGAAGAGGGGAATGCAAAGGTGTGGCTCCCCCATTCTCTATCAGCCCTACATTGTCTGCTCCCCTCCCCTCTGGAGTTGGTTCTGTCTCTTTATGATTGTGATGGCCGTTGACCTTTGACAGTGAGGTGGATTTAGGAGTGACAGTTACCTTTCCATCCGGTGCAGTCTGAGCAGAGGTGGACACCACCATTGCCTTGGGAAGTGACTCTTTCACCTCCGTCACAGCCTCCTCTACGCTCTCTTTACCTCCTTCAGGCTCAGCCAACCTCTTCCTTAGCTCCTCCACCTGTCTCTCCAACTCCCTACTCCTCTCCTCCTCTTTGCTGACCCTGGCTTTCATTCGCTCTAGTTCGGAGTCAAACTCAGCCTGCTGCTTCTGAGACCTGGCCTCTAGCTGGGCCGCCCTGCTCCTCTCATTTTCTAGGATCCCCCTGAGCTTCTCTAGAGAACTGGTCTCTTCTAGGAGCAAGGTTTGAAGTTGGGAGACCTTGTGAGCCTCCTCCTGAGCCTGGCCGCTGGCCTTCTGGAGCTCCAGGGTCAGAGTGGAGGAGAGCCGCTGCTGCTGGGACAGTGACTCCTCTACCTTGCTCACCAGCTGTGCCTGTTCCTTCTCCAACCTCTGCACACTGTCACGCTCCCCTTCCAACTAAAAAGAGAGGGAGAGGAATGCAAGACAAGGTAAGTCTTCCAAACTTGACCACAAGGAGGCAAAAGAGCACTGCTCTGTTGCATTAAATCAAACAGCATGAGAAGCACTTGAAAAAAGAACTGTTGGAAAATTGGTATAAAACATTAGGACATGCATTTTGCAAAAAAAACTATGATGAACAACTGACAGCGTCTTTTTATACATGTCCAAATGGTCTATTTCTTTATATTTTAGATTAATTGTAAAGATAATTCTCTTTTCCATTTTCCATTATATACCAATCACATTCATGATACTGACTCTAGTTGTGCTATTTCATTCAAATGGCTTATTTGCAATGGATAGTTTTATTCAGAATATTTCTTATCTGCTTTATTAGACACAGCCCATATAAAAATGGTGCCCACTCTGACAGCAGTTAAGTTTTTAAGAGTTTCAAAAATGGCTGGCATCATTTGTAGGTAATGAAATCCCAACTTTCTTGGCTCTATCTACATACAGTTCTGTCTGATGAATTTAAATAAGGTCCATGTGAGTCATACAGGAAAGAAGATGAAGTATGAGGTGTTTCAGAGTTTAGAGAGTCAGACAGAGAGGCGGTTCTTAGCTTTTTACTTTGAGAAAAAAATGTTATTTTGCTTGCATGGCATGTTTATGGAAAGTTCAGTCCACTCTGAGGTCATCAGTGGGTGACTGGACTGCTTAAAAGCTTTGATGAATAGAAGGAAATGGGAGGTGATAAAATACAAAACTAATGTATATGATTAGTGTCCAAATAAACAACACATGCAGGAAAGCTAGAGGAAGACTGGGAGACACTCAGGAAACCCTTTCTTACATAAGGCCCTTGTCTTTAGTTTGTATGGGGCTGGTTGTGTGCTCACAGTGTGTGTGTGTTTGTGTGTGTGTGTGTGTGTGTGTGTGTAAGAGAGAGAGAGCGCTGACCTTGCGTAAGGCATGGTCATCCATTATCTCAGGTTTCCTGAGGCCATAAAGCGCCACAGCTGAACAATGGCTTTTTCCTCCCCTGTTTCCTCTAGAACAGCCCTGTGCTTGTGCATACGGGTGCCTCTGTGTGTCACTGTACTTTTTACAGGCCGAGACCTCTACCCTGGAGCTGCACTGATGCTTTGCCGCTCAGTATGACAGAGCGGAAACAGAAAAATCTCTCTCAACAAATGTTCACATCCGTCAGACAGTGAGCACAGGTTTTTCTGAGAGTTTCACGTCTTTACAAAACAAAACCGCATAGAAATACACACACAGTACAACAGTAGGCTACATACAAACTTTTATCTTTAAAATGTCAGGTGCACCTGTTGCAGCAGTTGGTCTCTTTCTGTCTGCAGCATGACGGTTAAATCATCACTATGTGCAGAGTCCTGGGCGTGCCGACGTTTCTCCTCCTCCAGATCAGCTATCATCTATAAAGCATACAGCCAAATAAAACAGTTATGTCACATGACATGCAGGCAGATTTCTTCTTTCAGTGCATAAATGTGACATCATTTTCAAACTTGCACATATCATTGATTTATTTTTATCGGAGTAACTGTCCTGCCCCCGCACAGTATTGCTGCTGTGAAACTTGTCCCCTGACTTATCAGCCAGCCTAACAGAACACCGACTTCATGACAAGGTTTTGTCTGTTTTTCCTCAAACTCTCTTAAGTTGACTCAGAGACAGTCAGCAGTGACTCCCATAAACCCGCTGTGATAAAGCTCCATATCACCTCTTTAAAGTCTAGGTGCGGCTGCCTGTCTGACCCTTTCCCTCAAGCCAAGTCTACATGGCATGGATGGGGTCTGAGACATGGAGACATATGCTCCCATTCACATGCACAACAAGCCTATTGTACAAGTGTGAGCCCCTGTGTGACATATCTTCCTCATACATATACGTGAAGTGCAGACAGAGGATCTGCAGAACGTAGATCATGCCTCTTACCCTCCTGTGTCTGCTCTCAGCAGCAGCCAGCTGCCCCATCATCCTGTCCTGCATCCTCTTGCAGTGAGCCATGACGAGTTTGAGGACAGCCAGAGGATTCGGGCCCACTGCCCGACCCTGCAGGTGTGTGTGATGCTGGGTGAGTGTGCTTTGGCGCTCCGCAGACTCGTTGTCCCGCTGCAGCGCCAGGAATGGATCGCTAAGGTCATAGTGGCCATAACGCTCCTGGATGAAAGCATCTCTGTGTTGAGCCTAATAGATAAACAGAAACATACAACGCACATTCATCATTTTGTTTTTAAGCATTAACTTCAAGTTATTAACCTGACTCTTAACTTGATATGCACACACCACAGAAAGACATGACACACAGTAGAGCGCATACCTCCGCCAAGGCCCGACGGTTTCAATCAACTCTGCAACCAAATATGTCACGTTCATCGGACATAGTCCTTAAACTATTAAGGATACTTAATAAAAAAATGAATTTGCTGAGTCGACATTATCTCAGCTACACATTACAGGTTACAGGTTTGTAGCCCGATGTGTTATGGGTTCTCTTTTGGCCCATGTGCCATCCTTCCACCAAGCTTCAAATCCCCTAAGTAGTCTTTGTGAAATCCTGCTGATAAAAAATGTGATAAGCCAATTAACCAACCTCCTTGGTGGATGGAATGAAACATACATGTGTAGCTCAGGGGGGAAGAAGTTTGAAATCCAGTGCTGTGTGTGTCCTCATTGGCTCCATGTGTCTTAATGAGAACATTCATATACTGTGAGTCCATGTACCTGCTCAGTCTTTTGTCAGTAAATGGTTTTGATAAGATGAGTTCTCTTTTCCACATTGTAGCACAGGAAAGAATGTGCTCAGGAGATAACACGAGGCCCAACCACCAGTGCCAAGAAAAACACATGGTCATCACAAACATACTGTATAAGCATAGACACACACACTTAAGCATGTCATGCACAAGCACAAGGGAAGACTGACTTGTAGGTTATAACTTTAGGAATTCATATCACCATCGACCATAGACTAAGAAGTGTGTGTGTGTGTGTGTGTGTGTGTGTGTGTGTGTTTGTGTGTGTGTGTGTGTTTGTGTGTGTGTGTGTGTGTGTGTGTGTGTGTGCAGGAAACCTGTGTAGGTTTTTTTATTGTCAGTACACCAGCAGATGGCCTTTCCCTTCAATCCAAACACAAAGAGGTGAGGTAGGACTGTTCAACCCCCACCAGGGGCAGATGTTAACTCCTCCCCAGGGATGAAGGGGTGAAGGACCGGGCCATGAAATCAAACACACACACACACTCAGAGCAATGTCTAATTTAGTGGTTGGATGATACATAAACTAAAACAAATGAATTGAACGATAAGTGGTAGTATACTTGGTTCAGTGTGAACATTTAATCCTGAGGTGAACGATGAAGGACACTTAATTATTTCAACTTGTTCGAGAGAAACTTGCTGGAATGACAAGAATTGAGCTGAAACGTGATAGCGCTCTGCTGACCTGACTCCCGCTCAGCCCGATTTATCATTAGGTCTCATTAACTACATGCAGTTGGAAGGTTTGAGTTCTGGCAGCACAGGGTCAGCTGGCAGTGCTGGTGATGTAAGCACATGCCTCAGGGTTCACTCCACGTGTCTCCGGGACACCCGTCTCCGTCTCCCCATGCAGTCCTCATCAAACACCCCGGCCCCCGTCGTCCCCCTGCCCAAACACGCATGGCACCTCATTCCTCTGCCGGTTCATCATCATTTCTCAGAAAATGCCTCTCTCTACTTCCGCCTCTCTCTGTCAGACTCTTTTTTCACACGCTCTCATACCACATCAGCACACACACACACACACACACACGCACATACACACACACCCTGAGGGAATCAGCAAGGAGGCTGTATGAGGCTTTTTCTATGGCTGCACAAAGAATGCGACCCTCAGTGAGGAGATTACAGGACTCGAACAAAGACACTGTCTCAATGCCTTCAGCCTCATGCATTGTCTCCATGTCTGACCCAGTAGGCTTCAATGTGTGAGAGTGGGTATGAGAGTGTGAGTGTGTAGTATGTCTGTGTCATTTTACTGTGTGTGAGTGTGTGTGTGTTTGTGTAGTTCATTGTGTGTATGTTTACTTGTGGCTCTGTTCATATGTTTTTGTGCTGGGCTTTGAAAAGCTGTACAGCTTTTTCATGTATAGCTTGAGTGTTTAAACAGCCTATTAAGGGCCGTGCTGAGATTGGATTGTGTGTGTGTGTGTAGTAGTAGTAGTAGTAGCAGTAGTAGCAGTAGTAATAGTAACAGTAGTTGTAGTCGTGGAGGCTTTAACGTCTGGTCTCTTCTGGATTTCTCAGGATACATCCGATCATAATGACAGAGTGTGCTTTCCTTTATGACAGAGCACAACAACCAAACCCTCTCTGCTGCAAGGTTCTCATTTCTGCACAGCCACTGGACTAAAATGTCTCTACAACTAATTCGGAGCAAGAAATAGATAATATGCTGTCAACTTGTTTTTTATTAACTGTTTAATCTGTTTTTGAATTTGCAAAAATTTCTCTGCTTTTTCATGCCGTGCGTTTGAAATTGGTGAGGGACAGCTTGTTTGATCATTGCCTCCTTCAACAGCCTTTATTCTCTAATGCATTCCCACAGCTGTAACAAGGTGTGAAAGACAACCTGATGCTTTTCACCTGGAGAAGTTGTCTGTCAGTCAGTAACCTACAGCCTCGGGGCACAATCATGCCCTTGTGCGAACTGAAAAGAGCCAGGGAATCAGGTTTCCTTCCTGAGCCTCTGTAATGACTGTCACACAATGAACTCTGCAGCTACTATGGATAAAATTATAGCTCCGATCGGTATTGGGTGCATACCTCCTGTTACAAATGTCCAGTTTGGCCGTTAATCAGACTCAAACATAAACCTTTAAATGACTATACGTTATAAGTGTGTGAATCTATGAGCGTGATGCTGGTGTGTGTGTGTGTGTGTGTGTGTGTGTGTGTGTGTGTGTCTTTTCCATCCTGCATGAAGTTCTTAGCATAACTGGCTATCTCCAAGGTAACGTCTCAATTCCAGAAGCTTTGCAGTGGGGCTTCTGGGAAAAGTATGCATTCCTGATGAGTTAGTCTGCTCCTCAGAAAAACCGGAGACACACAGAGACAAAAGAACGGCACAAACAGACCTGTCAGAATTGAAAAGCCTCTTACATGGAACTCAAATCTTAGGGGTCCAGTGCAAGCATCTTCCCAAGAAGAGGACCATGTATCAAGATGCTCCAACATCTTATTTATTTAAAATATACAAGTGTTTGAGGTTGTCTCTGAGTTCTATTCTATTTCAAAACAAAGAAAAGTTGTTTATCCGGTAAATCTGCAGTGCAAGGAAAGCACAGTGTCAAGTTAGTGCATGTAGGAGAGCAGAAAATTAGACAGGGCAAAGAACGATTACCATTAAGTAAAAACTATAGACTGTAAATCAAGATGGATGAAGCCTCTCTACTTCCTCCCCTCTTCTAAAAATTAAGCAAAAATATCCTGGACATGCTTTGTCTTTTGCTTTTCAACATGGTTGGGCTACACTTTTAGGGGAACTGTCATGTCATTCTTCATTACGTACAATCTATGGTAAAAACAAAGAAAACCAAAAAAAGACAGTGGCATCTAGTGTAGGATACTCTTTACATATTTGTCTCTAGCTTTGTTGTTTTCATAGATGAGGAATTAAGACTTAGAAGTGCCATTTTCCTCCTTTGGTGAATTTGCTAATCAGCTAATTATCTCTTCTAAATAGTTTAAGAGAAAGTATTGTCAGTGGACAACTTGTCATCATGTTGAACCAAAGGCTTTGGCAGGTGAGAGATATCGCTTCTGTGGCAGCCACATCTCATTATAATGGCCCTGACTGTGAGCAGTATGGTCGGCGCTGGTCATTAGAGCATTTAGACGTTATCATATCAAACATTCTGCTGAGGAAACTCATGGCAAATGAGAAACAGGAAGGTGAGATCAGGTCCATGACGACAGAAAAAATAAAAGTCCCTGCTTGAAGTGCAACACCTGTCAATGAAGTCATCCGTGTGCTGTGAAGTCTTTTTCTAAGCTAAAGAAATGCCATACACCAATAACATGTCACACACACAGCTCAGCAGTAGGATGCCTTTGTTGTTGATAGCACTAAAAATAGAGTTTGCCGTGGTGCTGGGGACTAGTGACTAGCTAACTGGCCACAATGGACAACATAATCATTGGCTAAACAACACTTAGACAGGATGAGAGCCTGTGGTATTGTCTTAGGAGAACTCAGAGACTGTCTAAGGGATGACCCGAATTCAAAATATGACTTTTTTTGGCCAATCATAGATCAGGTGAGCTGTGCAACAACCTGGAAGCAAATGGATGGACGATAATCACCAATACATGTATATAAAAAGTTGTAAAAAGGAACTTCAGAATTCATTTAGAGTGGTGTTTCAGACAATGTGACACAAAGAGGTTCAGCATTGGCTCTGCTGTGCTCTAAATTCTGAGAAATGTATGTAACATTACCCAAATGTAAAACTTTTTTACCAGCTAAGCAGCTAATCAGTAACTCTGTGACACAATATGCTGTTCATATTGTGGCACGTTGCAGACTGAGCACAGAACATGCTATTACAGACACATACACTGCTACAGATACAATGGATCAGCTGCAAAACTGATTAGTTTGCCCAGATGATGCGGAGGAAAAGTCCCCACACTTTAGTGTAAGCCGGTGAAGGATCATGCTATTGTGGTAGAGCAGGGATTTTCTTTCCTGTCCTCGTGATTTTGGTGTACATACGTAGGAATCGGATGGTATGACTGATAAGGTGAAAATAATTCACTTGTGAGGTGGCTATGCATAATTGACGACATGTTTTTTTAACCTAGAAGACAGAAAGTAAGAGAAACAGAAACAGAAAAAAAGAAAAAGAGGGAGAGAGAGAGAGAGAAAGAGAAAGACTGGGTGCAGGGGTTGGGGTGCTTTTCGAAGTGTAAGCAAAGTTGTGTGTGTCTAAAGCTTAAGCCGTATCCTCCGTACCTTCCACCCACACATTAACCACGGACGGCACTGAGATAACTGGGAGGAAGCCAAACACTAAAAGCAATAAAGAAACGTTTAAGTGCCTCACACAATATCATCTGCAGTGCGTGAGGAAACATGGAAGCAGGTGCTCTCACCCTGTGGTCAGGAGAAGGTTCTGGAGAAACATAACAAATCATTATTTGACTCATTTTCTTGAAAAAGAGTCAAAAATGAAACCAAAGGTGTGAATCACCAATGTTGTTAAACTTCATTGGAAAAGCAGCGATTGTTCTTATCTCAGACTGCCCGTTATCTTGGCTTGGCCTCACCTCATGTCCAAAAGGCAGTGAAGGGTGTGGTTGATGATTACAAATATGAAACTTTATTTTCTTGCTGGATCTCTGGAGAAGAGAAGCCCCCATAAACAATGTAAAGACATACTGCAGTAGTCACAGACCGACCCTTCATTAGAGTCACAATCAAACTTGATGCCACAACTCTAACTTTGACACAACATGCACATGGACAACCAGATTACTCTGTCAATACCACAGGTTTTTGACTGTAGTATCATGTTAACACTCTAACAGGTAAATGACGTGTATGGCATTGAGAAACAGCAACAAACCACTCTCGAAACTGTATTAACTTCTATATTCCATCAATAAACAAATGGGAAAAAGAACTTGACATCCACTCTCATTAGTACTTTATGAATAAAATCTGTAATAACACCTTCAGCATGTCACACATCAGGCTAATATAATAAAACGTTATTCACAGAACAAACATTACTCAGCACAAGACGCACATAATGGGAGTGACTGGATACCACACTATCCCTGTTCCTTGGCTACAGCATTTAATTATCTCCTTCCCTGTGGATACTTGGTGATCTAGATATACTCTACATGCTCAAAATTAATCATTATAGCCCTTCTGTCTTTATCTATCACAGAGAAAATAAGAACACTAAACTAGAAAAGTAGGAAAAGGGCAATGTCTCACAATGGTTGGATCTCCTCACACAACAGATCCATCAATTCTTCTATATCACTACCACATCATCTATGCTCAGTTGATATTGGGCTAGAGCCGACGTACACCCTAGACAGGTCGCCAGCGTATTGCAGCTTATCACATTACCACTTAGGATCAGGGGTTAACATAACCCTAATCTGCAGGCCTTTGGACAGTGAGAGGAAGCAGGATTACATGCACATTTGCAACACATAAATATAAGTGGGGAGGGGTGAAATACTAAAGAAAAAAGAAAGGGAGGAGAGAGGAGGACAAAAAGAGAAGAAATCAAGGATATTAGTGTAAGGAAATGTGAGTATATGTATGAAGAAATAATAATAAACAAACCCATTCTACTAAACTCACTTGAAATGCATCCAAACCCAAACTGATTATCAAGATCATCCCATCTGTTTTTGCTGCTGCTGCTATTTTTTCTTGTTTCTTTTCTTCCTTCACATCTCTCTATCACTTGTTCGAACCCTTCCAAGCCTGAGAGGTAATTAGGCAAGCACATGCAGCGTAAAAACTCAAGTAGTGCAGAAAACGTGACTGAATCTAAACCGAAGCCGAATATGATTTACCATCAGGTCGCAAAGGGCTCAGGTTGGGTATCCACACTTAAAAATGTATGCACTAAATGCTGAATATAACAAAATCAGTTAAAAAAAAGAAGACATTACACTGAAAAAGAATCTCTTGGTTGAAAAAAGCAGTGATTTCTCTTATCTCAGTCTGGCTGTTATCTCGGTTTGGCCTGACCTCCTTTACCACTATTTTATGTGTAGTGGGCAAATATACTCTCCAGTTCAGAGCAAACAGAAGTGAAGGGTGGAGTTGATTATCATTACAGATAATAACCTTTGTTTTCTAACTGCGTCTCCAGGGATAAGAGAAGCAGCCATAACAAGGCATCCTAAAGGAAACTCGATCTGATCTATGTCACTCATATGAGTGTCGTGAATTGTGTGCGTGATGTGCTGTTTGTGTAGGTGTGTGTCTCTTTGTATGAATTCTAACCAATAAAAGCATGAAGGTAATATCAGGTCCGTTGTAGTCATCTGAGCTTTTTCAGGTCAGGGAGCTTTTCTCTCCCAGGCCTCGGCTTTAAGGCCACCTCACGTGTAGCTGTGTGTGTCATCTACTTTCTGTTTGTTCTGTTTTTTTATAAATTGTGCTGCATTTCTCCCATTCGTATCGTGACAACCTGTCCAAATTAGGCAGTGATTCTTGTGAAAGTAACAAAACACACAATGCTATCTGAACTGCACATTCATAGGCCCTTTTGTTTATGGAGTCAGGAAAAGACGTCAGCCTGCAAAAATAGACAAAGCGTTTTAGGATTATAGGAAATGACATCATACGAAAGGAAAAAAAGAGGTCCTGCTCAGTGTTATCATAGGATTTTGATGAAACAAACCTGAGCCTGAGTAAACAAACAGTTAGCAGATATATATAAAGAGCTAAATGACAGCGGTATTGGTTTTGCAACCACAGCAAACAAAAAAAAACTGACAGCAGTCCCTCAGTGCAGATGCGAGGCATATCTCGAAGTTTTAACCTTCAATGTCCCACGTTTGTTTTCCACTTTGTTTACTTGTTTAGTTATAGTATTGTCTCAGAAGCAATGCAGAGGACGGACATCAGCGCTCCCTCTGTGAGTATTTCAGGGGCAGGTAGCAGCTAGAGTCTATTTTCATATCTGTAACTAACAATTCTATGCAAAGTTGCTTCATGCTGGATTTGTGCCAATAATACCTGACAGATAAAAGATAATTATAACCTCAGTTCCTGTGCAGCTATAGACAATGATCAACTCAAAAGATATGCCACTCCTGTTGGAATGTAAGACCCGTTTCTGGTGTCATGTTCTCAGGAATGTTCCCTCGAGTAAAACTGCTTATCTGTGTCCATAGTGATGAGAAGTGGAAACACTACGATCACGAATCTGTGGAGACAAGTCCCATCGGTGACGTCGTCTTAAGCTGTAACTAAGTAAACACTGAAAACAGTTTTTACAGATGAGGAGTTTATGGTGAGGGAAGGGTTAAAAAGCACCTGAATGCTGCTGTCCCGAGCAAAACAAAGGCCCGTCAAGTACATACTGAAAGGACAAAATATTTCGAGTGGCTCCACAAGTAAACATTACTGGCACACTTAGAGCTTGGTTAATATGCCATGTTAACACGAGAGTTCTGGTTACTTCTTCGAATTGTTTGTGGCATATCATGATCCTGGGAAAATAAAATCACAGTGGGAAGATGAAAAACAGATAAGACAGAGAGAGACAAGCTGTAAAAACAGACAGCCCACCTGCCAAATGAATGCACAGACACACAGCTCAATATTGGGCACATTAGGGTTTTATCAACCCATGACAATCTCCTCTGAAACCACGTCTCCACACACAATCTGTCCTAACATGGACCAGACGATTAAAATGGTGCTCAGGTCCCCAGTGGGAACAAGGGAAGTCAGTGATTTGAGCCTACAACTCTTGTACATCCTCTCCACAATAAACAGCGCAGCCTCTAACAGGCCCACCAGAGACCACCAGAGTGTGTGTTCGGGAGTGAGTGGGCAGATTGGACATGGGTCATGGTCAAACATGAAAGACCCCATGTAATGTGGCTGTGTGTGAGTAAGAGAGGAGGAAGAGAGGAGGGAGAGGAAAACAAGCAGTATAGTCAGAGGTACGGAAAGAGGAATAAGTACAGACAACAAGGCGACTGTACATTTGTCCTAAGGGAATGACTGTGTGGGTGTGTGTGTGTGTGTGTGTGTGTGTGTGTGTGTGTGTGTGTGTGTTTGTTTCAGGTCAATCCCTGCATGCGTCAGATCTGGACAACTGCCATTCAAGTTGCATCTGAGCGCCTGTGGTTAAGACTGGCTCCTCCTCGGGCCCTGACACTGAAATTATCTCATGATTACTGCCTCACTTGCTTTCTAGAGAAACTTCATGATTAAGGCCCATTTATGTGAACAAGATGCTCCTGGTTGCTACTTGTCCTCATCGCAAACCCCAACCGTATTCCAGACAATAACTCAAGCATTCAGGGCAAAAACAGGTTCATCCGAGCATGGACCAGCTGCTGTGGTCATGAGTGTGAAAAAGCAGCCAAAGGCATGGAGGAAACCAATCGGACCGGACTCAAACACTGCAAAGCATTGTAGCTGTGGACGACCAAGGCTGTTTCTTTGAACAGGAGTGAATGAGCTTTACAAAATGGAGGATTAAAGCAACAACTGTGTGAGAAATCTGACATGTGATGAGGTTGTTGTTGGAATAACGTCTTGGGGTCTGTTGGGAACTGGTTGTATTATGCTAGCATAAACAAATTAAATGCAATCAGAATGATCTGGGGTCTGTTCCCAATGTGCAACCAGGGGATTCAAGCCGTGCAAGTGGACATGGTACCTGAAAATATCTAGGGCCTAAAAAAAATTAAAACAACAGCAGCAGAGGGGGTTTCCCAGATTAAAGCAAATGGTTCAAAACACATTTGAGATACACTTGCTATGATGCCTGAACTGGATCTAGACAACTATGTAGAGGATAGGGCCTAAAGTGAAAAATAGACATAATAATAATAAAAAGCACAGACTTTAGCTGTGGCCTGGTCTGACTGGGAGCACTGTTGGTTCTGTGTAAGAATAAAAGGTCTCGGAAACCAGACGGGTGCCTGTGCCATTGTCTCCATCAGCTCAGTTTCCTCACTTTCCTGTTTACACATCCCCTCCCTGTTTGCTGACATTCTTTTTGGGGGTGTAATGGCGAAACAAGTTGTTGGGATGGCTATAATTTTTCGTTCATCGTTAATGTATGTGCACCCTCCTAAAGTCCATGCAGAGATTTGTGTCTGTGCACTGCAGAGTCCAACTCACCCTGAGGGTGTGTATGACCACATCCTGGGCCTCCAGCTCCCCCTCCAAAATACTGAGGAGAGTCAGCAGCTCTGCTCGGCTCAGAGCCTCCACATTCATTTTCTCCTCCTGATGAGGGACAGACAAACAGAGGGAATGAGAAAGAGATATTCTTAATGGTACAGATATATATGACATGGTTTATCAAACCTGGTTGTATTATGCAAGCATAAACAAATTAAATGCAATCAGAATGATCCATCAACACAAGAAATATGAATGCCTCTGAATAATGGAAATGGATTTATGTGCAGAGAAGGGTTTATTGGTGGCTTGTCTGAGTGCATGTTTCAATGAGTAGCACAGAGGTGATATGGGATGGGACTCAGGTCCCATCTGTGGCCTCACAGGATTGTGCTCAGGGTTATAAACAGGAAGTAATTAGCATATCTGCATTTTAAGTTGCTTAGGGGACTGAGGACAGTTGGTGCCGTATTCAGCACTGCAAATGTTCAGTGCTATCTGAAAAGCCATTAGTGAATGTGATTCCATGAAACGTCTTATTTAGTACACACTTTTAAGGCATTAGCCATCCAACACTCCACTCCACTCCACACTCTGTGATTCATCAGCCAGGCCCAGTCTAGTCTCAGGGACCAGACATAATGTACTTCACACGACTGACATCATCTCTAATTAAGAAAATGACAAAACCACAGTTTTTATGTCGGGGTGAGGTTGGCCTTGGGTTGTTGTCAGTGCGTTATAATGATTCTGTGGCTGCTGCTCGGTGTGCTGATCATGTGTTTGAAACTATAATGATCAGCTTGTCTCCTACTCCTCTCATCACTCTGTCTCACAAACCATGGCACTCAGTAGAGCGCATTAAATTCAATCAAGCTGCACCAGATTTCACACACTCATTCATATCAGTGCCCTAAATATACCAGTGGTTTTTTCTGTTTAGATCTATGAATTATTCCCTGGGAATCTGTGAAAATATACATTTTTTAAAACGATCTCACATGTCAAAGAAAGATTCCTGGCTCTTCCGTTTTGGTTGGATCCACCCCAAAATTGAATGGGTTATTTTTTTGGCCCATGTTTTGCAGATACCCTGCTGATAAACAAACCGACACTATAACCTGTTATATCAAAGCTCAGTGCAGCAGAGTTTGTAGTCTGCGGTATATAGATGCAGATGTTTGTCAAATTAAAGCAGAAATCAAGCATGAAGTGACAACTCGAACTCTCTAAAACTTTATCCGAGCAATTTCTCCCGAGAGAGGTGTTATGATATTAATGTTGAAGAGAGTATATAAGAGTCCTTTCGCTGAAGGTGTTCAGCTCATTTGGGATCCCCATATTGTGAAGGCCTATGCTCATCTGCTTGTTACTGTTCTCATCTTCACTTTAACAAACCTCTCCTCCCTGTTGTCTGCGAGGTCTCTCCAAAAATTCCTCTGTGCATTCTGTGGCAAACCGCACGCTTACAGCAAAGAGACGTGTTGTGAATCACTAGTTATTTACTGGCTACAAAACTGACATGCACTGCAAGGGTAGTTTCCAGTACTGCCCAACCACACACACACACACACACACACACACACACACACACACACACACACACGCACACACACTCACACACACAAACACACACAAACACACACACAGTTTTGTTATCTGAGGTAGTTTAGTTGTCAGTGTAGGCATAACACTCTCTGTGCGTCACCTGATATCTCAAAATCAGCGTCCATGGAAAATCATTCCCACATTCCAGGGATGCTCACACCATGGGAATTGTCACTCAAGAGCAAAATCCCTGAATCCCACTCTGAGGCCCCTGTGGTTTCAAATGGCAGGGTTGCAGTTTGTGCAACCATTTGATCGAGGAACTAATAACATCTCTTGTCATGGGTTGTTGCATTCATTTTTTTCAAGCTAATTTACAAGTCAGTATAGAAGCATATCTCAGAAACTGTTCATCTAAATCGACTTCACACTTTGCACATGTATTGTAAATGCCCAAGGAAGTGCAGTTCCGATTTCTGTGCAATTTTGACACTTGATACGTTCAATATTAAATTTAAGAAATGACTATGAAATACTAATAGCACATAAACTAGTTAGGATCAACAAAAGTTTTCTTGCTTCACTCTGCACCATAGACTGCACACAACGTCCAGCACTCAAACAATCATAAATGCAGTGTAATGCTCTGGAGCCTACTCCAGAATTATTCTTTCTCATTAGTGAGTCTACAATATAGTATCACTTTTCTATTGATTTAGAGCTGGATGTTGAGTGCAGAGCTTTTTATGAACAGTCTGTGGTGCAGAGTAAAGTTTCCTTCTGTTCATCCTACCTGGTTTATCTGCAATTAAGATTTTACAGTCATTAAAAATCTCTTTTTTTTAATCAATATTGTTGGATGAATGATTTGTGAGAAAAACAGAGGCTTGTGTGTTTAGTACAAGCTAATTTGACAAAGCTGGTGTGTGGTTAGTGTTAAGACAAATGGCATGGTGTCACACAGGTAGAAAACAAAATCTGGTTTAAACTTAAACTCAATCTGGCTGATGACCCAGTAAGGACTCAGTGCTGATGTGCTCTCCGTGCAGGACACACTGCTCGGTGCCTCCACAGGAATAAATGATGGTAGTGGTTGCTCAGGAACAGCAGAGCTTCCACCTGCCACCCTGTTGGTCCTTTGTCTGACACAAGAGGCTGCTGTTATTATCATTATTATTATTTTCCAGTGCTGGCAACATTCAGCTCAATTGGTAAAGTATTGCAAACATCACAAAATCAACACATTAGCCTTTATGTGTATAGATTGCCTGGAGTGATAATGCTGAAATCAATACCATACACACCCATAAGGCTGAAAATGAACTCAACACAGGAGCTCTGCTGGATCTCAGCGCTTCTTACTCATCCTCACTCGTCTAAATTTGTCTGGTATTATCATTTACCAGTTTCATGTGAAGCAAAGTTTCATATATAACCAGAAATGGCAAAGCCGCAGCAAATATCAGATGAAGCCCGGACCTGTCTATGTACTTCTGCATTTTGATCTCTAACTCAAAAAGAAAACCTCGCAACATGTCTGGATTAAATCCCTGGAGGGCAGAAGCCAGTGTGGACACGTACCTTCATGCACTCCGCTCCGGCCACATTAATTGTTCTGCCAGTCCAACAGAGAGGAGACACTCGTCTTCATGAATCCACTGAGTCCACTGACACACAGACACTCTGAGGCCACCGTGAACAACAGATGCTCAGTGACGAGAGGGACAGCCAATCAGAGAGGCGCGCTGCAGCCAACTGACCAATGAGCTGCAGGATTGTCATCAGTGGGGCGGGGATAAGAGCGTGCCCCAGTCTGTTGGGTAAACCTCTTTGTTTCAGTCTTGTGTCCCATGCGCTTTTGGAAGTGTGCGCAGATTTGGTGTATTTGCACTTTTATCGCATACGAAGTTATATTTTTAATCACATGAAGGTGAATTAGTTGAAATGGAAATATTGTGCACGAAACAGGTTGTGCACGAATCGAACTCTCAGAACCGGTCATTTCTCAGACGCTCATGGGCTTGCACTGTCTCATGCGGATGTATCTCCCCTCAATGGCCAAACGACAGCATCACAGCACCTCTCCCTGCCCTGTGGCTCTGCAGCCTGCAGGACCCTGTCCTGTCTGTGTGTGAGCGTGCATGAAAGCATGTGAAACGTGCACAACAAGATTTCAACACATCTCCACACTTTAGTGCATTCCTGCTCCTCCTGTTTTGCAGCTGTATGTCACAGTAAATCAGATAAGCATTGATTCTTTAAGTGAGGTAAAACTGTATATTCATTAGAACTGTCCTGAAGGGTCTAGTAAAGTTGCTTTGTTTTTATTTGTGTCCCTGTGATGTTTGAATATAAAATGCCAACACCTCATAATGGGCTCAGTCAACTTAAAACAATGTTTTAAGATTTAAAATGTAAGTTATTCTGTGAAATACAACAATATAATGTTTCTCCAAGTCTCTAATTTCGTTAATCTGTGGCTACCATAACTTAACTGGGTTAAGGGTTGCTCTGAGTGAAAAAGTTTTATGTCCATTCTGCATGTTGTTTATGTCAAAAAGACAGTATTATAATATATAGTGAATATACTATATAGAAATAATTAAACTTTTGTAAGACATGGAGTGTAACAGTAACATTATTAAAGAACTTTTACCTGAGAGAAGGAAATAAAGGAAAAGTCAAAGACACAGAAACTGTGATGAAATCAACTGTGATGGCAACTTAATTCTGTCGCACAGAGCAGGAAGAGGAGTCAGGACAACAAAAAAATCAGCAGGGGTTTGTTAGAACCAAATGTTGTTGCTATTCAAATGTAATTTGAATGATTAGTGAATATGCATTATCTGTAAGATGCAATTAGTTTAAAAAAGACTTACATTCTATACATTTAATAAATCGTTATACATAACTGTATTTTATGCTGCAATTTATCTAGTACTTTATTTCGTATGGTACTCTATAAACGTCTTTAGATGAGTGATTTGTCCGCGAACTTGAACTACAGTGAACCTTATATCTGAAAATTAAAACATTATACTGTTAATGTTTTTATTTTTTTTCTAAAAGCGGTACATAAACTGGTGACTTGATTTTGAAGCAGGTTAGGGTCAGAGCTGCCTGGTTACTGCCTCACAATCAGAGTTAGATTGAAGGAGAATCATTGGCTCTGGGCTCCAGCTTCAGTTTGATGGGCACTGCGGGTGTGACAAAACCATCCACTCCCAGCACCAATGGAATCTGTGGAAAAAAAGTTGTCACAAATTACGCTCTAAAAAAAGCTCACATTCTGATTCAAACAACCACACTTAATAAAAAACAGTCTCACCTGTGTCTCCTTGCAGGTAATGAAGCTAAAGTTCTGAAGGACCATGACTAAGGCCAGCTTCATCGCTACGAGAGCAAATCGCATTCCAATACAGTTCCTTGGTCCCGCTCCAAAGGGTAGGAAGGCATAGGGGTCGATGTTGTCTTTGTTCTCTTTGCTGAACCTGAAAAAAACATGTCAATAAGTAAATTGTCAGTAAGTTGCATCATCTATACCGCTTTTCTCATTCCCCACTGGGGATGAATTAAACTATCTAAACTAATCTATCCTGACATCCTTCAGAGGCAGGGTCAACCCTGGGGGAATGGAGTGTATCACAGATATAGAGACAATCAACCAAACAAATATTGGTACATTTCTTAGTCAAATGACACATTTTTGGTTAAATCTGAGCTTAAACTGCCATTAATCCAGTACAGTACCTTTCAGGTTTGAAGGCTTCAGGCTCAGGCCACAAAGCAGGGTCCCGGTGCAGAGTGTAAACTGGTATCACAATGACAGTTCCCTTTGGGACGGTCACTCCGTTCACTTCAACTGAGGCCTTCGTCATTCTCTCCAATCGACTGGCAATAGGATACAGCCTCATTGACTCATTCACCACCATGTCCAGGTATTCCATCTGCATCACAGCTTCATAGGTGGGCTGACACTAGAGGAAGTCAATTTTAAAGTTGTAATGAGTTGGTAGCACAGAACCAGTTGCTTATTAGTTAGAGGTTATTTCTTTTTAAAAAGTCAAGAAACCTTTTCTGGAAAGGTTTCATCAATCTCCTTTTGCAAGGTCTTTTGGATGTGAGGATTGGTTGCCAGGTTGTAGGATATAAAGCRAAGTGTGTTGCTGCTGGTTTCATAGCCAGCAAAGATGAAAAACATGGCCTGAGACAGGATTTCATTATCAGTCAGCCCTGCAACACACACACAACATAATTCAACTATTGTATTGTTGCTATTATGACAATACTTAAAGGCTCAGAAAATCTTTGGTGATGAAAGATTAAGGGGTGGATGAAGTCCACAAAACCCTTATGGAGTCTCATGGGTAAACATTGTTGCAGCCTTATCCGATACAATTGAAGAAACCAGCGACCAACATTTAGACGTAATGAAACAAGAGAAAAAACACAACATGCTTCCATACTGCTCGTGTGGTGTCATCCAACGGTCTGCAAGCCCCCACATTCATATTGTTTTTTCTGTTGCTTTATTATGTCCGAAATCTGAAGTATTGCATTTGGCTGCAACATTATTTACCCCTGAAACTCCAAAAGCGTTTTGTGGACTCAAACACTTCACCCAACCCCTCCATTGGCATAGTGGAGAAGAGATGATGATTGAATTTGTTAGGTGAACTATCCCTTTAAGCTGAGGCCTGCCTACCAGCTGAGAATCGTATGTCACACGATCACGGACAGTGAAAGCAATATCTACCAAGTTTATGTTGAATTCTGCCTGCCTGCTGAGAACTGTGCTTCACCAGTCAGATGCTTCTACTCTATGATTCTTTTTTGAACATCAAAAGGTTCTGACCAGCAACAATTGCAAT